TAAGTTCAGGGGTACATGTGCAGGTTTGTTACATAGGTAAATGTGTATGTACCATGGTCATTTTCTGCACAGATCATCCCATCACCCAGGTATTAAGCCTAGAATCCATCAGCTATTCTTCCTGATGCTCTCCCTCCTCGCACCCTCCACCCTCTAACAGGCCCCAGTGTGTGTTTGTGTGTGTGCGTGTGTGTGTCCCCATGTGTCCGTATGTTCTCATCACTTAGCTTTCACTTATAAGTGAGAACATGTGGTATTTGATTTTCAGTTCCTGCGTTTGCTAAGGATAATGGCCTCCAGCTCCATCCATGTCCCTGAAAAGGCCATGATCTCATTCCTTTTTATGGCTGCATAGTATTCCATGGTGTATATGTACCACATTTTCTTTAGCCAATCTATCATTGATGGGCATGTAGGATGATTCCATGTCTTTGCTATTGTCAATGGGAGACAGCAACTTTTATTGAAGCAGCAGTGTACAGCAGCAGCAGAGATACTCCTTGTACAGCAGGGCTATTCCCTAGGCAGTATGTGCAGGGTAGCACCCCAGTGCTGCAGTCATATTTATACCCAGTTTTAGTCATATCCAAATTAAGGACAGTTTATGCAGAAATTTCTAGAAATAGGGTGGTAACTTCTGGGTGGTTGGGTCATTGCCATGGAAAGGGGTAATAACTTCCAGTTGCTGCCATGGCAATGGTAAACTGACATGGCGCATGTGTGGGTGTGTCTTATGGAGAGCTGCTTGCCCCCCAGCCTTGTTTTAGCTGGTCCTCAATTTGGTCCAGCTAATTGGACCAAATTGAGCCCCACCTCTAGAGTTGAGTCTCACCTCCTACCTCAATAATAATAGAAAAGGTTGGTGATCATTTACTTCCATAGCATCTGCTGGAAGAGACCATAAGTCAATTCCTGCCACCGAGATCCCCTGCACTGCCTAATTCCTGTCTATTCCGTGCCTGATTCTTTAGGGATGCTCTTAATCCTGTGAGTTTCCATCAATATTTCTGAGGCAATCTTTGTTGACGTTGTTAGCCAGACTTAGTTTCTGTTGCTTGCAACCCAAGGATCCTAGCTGACAATTCTCCTGTTTGCTGAATCCATCCCATCTTCTCCATCCTCCCCACCATGGCCTCATCAGCCTTGCCTGGCTTTCAGAGCCAGCTTCCTCCCTGGTATCCATGTTTCTGGTCTTCTCAGTGCCAAATTCATTCACCACGAAGTCTCCAGCCAAAAGTGACCATGCCACCCTAATGGAGAAATGCTGAGTCCCTGGTCCTGACCAATGGCCCCCATCTATCATCTGGTCATTTCTTTTGTACCTCCCTGTCTCAATCTTTAAGCACCAAGAACTCCAAACTACCAGCTGCTTCCTCATATTCTCCACATGTGTTCTAATATCTCGTCCTTTCCCACCCTTTCCTCTGCACCAGAATACCCATGAAAAGCTAACCACGTCCTAATCATCCTGTAAACTCAGCTCAGACATCACCTCCACCCTTGCCTAGCTATCATCCACCTCTGCTCACAAATGTGCAACCCTAACACATGGTCTGCCCTCCCCACTAATCTGTGAATTTTTTGATGACAGGCACTGTGTCATCTTCGTCTATCTGTACCACATACTAGGCACTGAATAAATGCTTGTTGAATGTTAAATGACTAAAAACATAATTCACATTGAAAAACCCAAGGTTGGATGCAACAATGGTGTTTTCCTTTTTCTCCTTCCGAACCACATTTGGAATTATCCTCAAATTGAGCGTTCTGAGAAATCTGCCAATGCTCTGCTAATCTTGAAGGATGGTTTCATAGCTTAGGAGTCAGAACTCACACTGTTTTAACAAGCATCAGAGGCTGTTGCTGGTTGCACTGCCTAATGGTTCTCAATCGTGAAAGGACATTTCAGACACTCTGACTACACCAGCTGAAGCCCCAAGTGAAGGGCTAAGGTGCCACTCAGCCTATACCAACCTGAGTACAGAAAGGGAATATGCAAAAAAAAAAAAAAAAAAAAAAAAAGCTTATCATCAATCATCAAACCAGTACAGGCACACGTGACAAGGGAAGGGCTTTGCTGTGGGATTCTCCTTCCTCCCCAAACCAACTGCGCAAGACACAGCTCCTCCGGTGCCTTAGTTTCCTCACCAGGAATGAGGAATGAGATGCCAACCTAGATTCATTCAACGAACATAGACAGGGCACCCACTCTGTGTCTGACTCTAAACAAATTACTGCAGGTCAAAGATTCCCAAAATACTTTTCCTATCCTAAGGAAGCAGTGTGGAAAGTGCCACACACGTAGGATCGAATCCCGGCCTGTTAGCCTCAAACCGTAACGCTGCTTCTGACCTGCAAGCTTCACAGCCCCAGGAAAAGTGATTTCAATTCCCTTCGCAGCAGTTTCCAAACAGGAAAAATGAGGATGACATGAGCTCAAAGGTGTGAAAGGGTCTGGCACACAAGTAGGGTCTCAGAAATCTGAATTAAGAGGGTCTCCGAAGGCTTTAAACGTCCAAAGTTCTATCAATCGGAATTTCTCTCGTAATGAGAACTAGTGCCCCCTTCTGACAACCAGCGAGCACTGCATAGGCTGTCAGTATAAGAATGTGGTAAAAGACACCACTGCACACACCACAACAGGAGGAAGGGCCTGTCACAGACACCCCACCTTGGCTGGTGACCCTCCCAAGGCCAGTTGCTATGAAAAAGAAATGTATAAATGAGATCCTTGCCCTGCCCAATATTTATGGAGGGATCTGAAGCTACCCACTGGGGAGATAAATGTAAAATTCAAAAGTGATCGGTTCTCATCCACCCCCCTCCCCTTACAGAGGAAAGGGCATCACGTGTGTCGGTCAAGTCTTGCCCATCCCTTTCTCAACAGAACCAGCTGAATTAAATTATTTTCTTGCAAAAAGCCCTTATCCTGCACCCTAGCCGAAGGCCTGATTACTGGCAATAGTTGCTTTCAGAGTTCAGGGAAAGGTGACATCTTGGTGAACAATTCTAAGAGGATTTAGCTCTCCTCCAATAAAATATCATGAGGATTGGATTTCCAAAGAGTTTTGTTTTCATTACTCCACTTGGATACACCCAGTAACCAACTTCACTGTCGTAGAACAGCTTCTCAGTAAACAGCTCCATGCAGCTATTGCCATGAAAAACCCACACGTCTGCAGTGAAGTCAAAAAACAGAGCCACTCCACTGGTCTTCCACCAGGGCAGGCTGCTCTGGAAACACAACGCAGGGCATCCTTGGGGCTTTGGTAGAAGACCCCACTGATTGCCTGAGGAACTAGCAAAGTTATGCAGTTCCTGGAGCCCAGGAATGAATCCTAAACTGGGCGTGGTGACAGAACCACAAGGCTGAGAGGTCTGAGGTGACACCTGGACATCAGTACAGGTAGCAGATAAAAATCAAGACTCCACATTCTTCTTCTTCTAACACCTCCTCCCACCCCACAAAAATGAAATAAAACCACGAACAAGCCAAGGAGGAGAGCTGGAATCAGGCTCCTAGGAAAAACACGTCCTGTTCTAGCCTCAAGACAATTTCACACCAAATGGCTTTAAATTCCTTTCCAAAGCTTTGATGCCCGAATTGAAAAATAATTTCCCTTTTTGAGCAAAAGTCAGCAGTTAAAGAAGCAGAACCTGAAAATCCTAGGAGCTCATGAGTTCTCCTATGTGCACAAATGTTGCGTGTGTCTGAACACACAGCGCAGAAATCTACCCATTCTTTCTGGGAAGGTCATCCCAACTCTGTCGCAGAGGCTACTGTGGGTCACTCTAGAATGTAGTTATTATCACCACTAAACAGACTTCCCAGCCACACACAGCCGGCGCTAAGCTGCTATTCCCTGAGCCCAAGAAAGTCTCCTTTTTTTGCAGAAAACCGGCTCAGGGCCTGGGGATGGCTGGCGCCCCAGTCTTGGCACTCAGGGAACTGCAGGCACCGCTTCACCCGGGAGCTAAGGGCTTCGACCCAAATGGAAGAAAGACGCCTTCCTCACACAAGCCTTGTCCAAGAAAAAAGAGCAGTGGGAAACCATGGTGGGGTGGTGGCCCGGGCGCACGTGGCCGAAGGCTAGGACGCAAACTGATCCCCTCGGTGCACGCTCTGTATCCCCAGCCCGTCGGGATGGGGTGTCCCCCGCTCGCCCTCTCCCCGAGGGCGGCCCAGAACTACCTGCTGCTGCCTAGGAGCCCTCGGACCAAGTCTCGGGAAGTTCACTCCGCGTTGCGCTAGTCCGGAGAGACTGGGAACCCGGGTAAACCCAGACTGTCCGGGGAAGACGGAGCCCGCCCCTGCCTGGGCGCCAGACCCATCTAGCTGCTTGGAGCTCAGGGACTAGGTACCAGCCGGACTGCAGAGGCCTCTCTGGTTACCCCTTGCACCCCGGCGCCCCCAGACTCGGGGTAGGTGGCGGCGAGGAGCGTGCGTCCAGGAAGGCAAGCAGTCAGCGCTGGGGGCCGGACGTGGAGAGAACCCTGCCTCCCGTCTCCCCCGATCGCCATGACTCCGGCTTCCCGAAGAGACCTGGTTGCCGCCGGGCGTTCCCACCTGGGCTGCGGTGCGGCTCCGGGTCCCCTGCCCTCCCTCCCCACCTCCCGGGAGCCTTCGGCCGCGGGCGCGCTGCCTGGTGGCCACTGGCGCCTGGGGGCTACAGGAGCGGTTCCCAGCCTCCAGCCCGCACAGTGCCGGGACAGCAGAGTGCGCCGCGGCCCTTCCCTAGCCCCACGCCCCCAGGCAGGCAGCCAGAGCCAGCTCCACCGAGGGCAAGGTGGCCGGGGCAGCCCCCAGCCCGCCGGGTGGGTGCCCCAGTGCCGGAGCCAACAGGTACGGGAGGCGTTGTCTGCCAATCGCCCGCCCACTCCGAACACGGGGGCTCGCGACAGCCTGGGGGTTTGGACACCCTGGAGAGGGGCGAGGACCGAGGGAAGAGGAGAAGAGAGGGAGCGCGCGGGTGAGCTAGGGAGCCGGCGGCTGCACTCACCTCTTGCTGGGCCGGGGCCCCGCAGCCCGGCAGCCGAGGCGCCTCCGCACCGCGCGGGGGGCTTCCTCCGAGGCCCGCAGGGAGGGGGCGGCGCGGAATGGAGGCGCCGAGCGGGCAGCGCTTAGCCTCTCGCTCACACCCCCAGCCGGCAGCCGCGTCCCCGCGCCGGCATCCTCGCTGCCGCCGGCTCCCTCGGCGCCCCCGGGCCGCTCCCCACGCGCGCGCCGAGACCGGCACGAGCCCCCTCGTCGACTCGGAGCGCGATCTGGGCGCGTGCCTCCCTGTCCTTGTCCTCTGCTCCCGTCTGGGGACGTGTGCCCCGCACCCCCTGCACCGCGCGCTCTTCTACCCCTCCCGCTCCCACTGGCCGCGCGGATTCAGCCCATGTGCGCGGCTGCCTCGCTGCGCCCCGGAGCCCAGTGGCCGAGGCCCCGCCGGAGTTGCGCGCCCTAGAAACTCCATGCAGCTCCGGCCTCCTCCCCAGCTCCTCCCCTGCGGGTCCCCCGGGGCCTTGCGGCCGCCAGCAGCACAGTCCACGCTCTGCCGGCGCCCGCGTTCAGGAGCCGGGCTTCTGGGCTCGCCTTGGCCGCCTGAGCCCCGGCTCCTCCGAGGGTCGGGGAGCCCCCACCCCCACCCTCCGCCTCTCCAATGACTCCCTCGGTTTCTAGGCAGCGCAACCTGAGGAACGCCTCGGCGCGCGCGCACTCACACTCGCGCGCACACACACACACACGCACGCACATGCACGGCACACACAGGCAGACACGCGGGGGGCGAGCAGGCGCTTGGCAGACGGTGCTCCTTCCTTCCCTTCCCAAAGAGGCTGCCCACGTTAACTCTGGCAAACTGCTGCTCCTCGGAACAGGACAACTCACCCTAGCGCCCGCCGCCTTCACTACTTCATCCCAGGTGCACACACCCTAGGGCCACGATTACACCTGAGCCCAGGGAGAAGGCGGGCCGCCGAGGTGGAGGGGCCGATGGCTGAAACTGCGGGGGCCAGCATTCCGCGTGACCGCCCGTGGCGACATCCAGGGAGGCACGGCTGCCGCGGGGCATCGCCCACCCACCTGGGATCCCACTCCTCCAGGGCCTGAGAACATGTGGCGTGGCCCCCACATCTTCCAAGGTCATAGGACGGATCCGATGGCAGGGAGAGGGCGCTTGGGCACAGGTGTGAGCTACAAATTCGCAGACTGCCTGCAACCTGCCCATGCGCTGACCTCTGCTGAGTCTCCGCCCAGACAGACCCCTCTCTCCCCTGCCCCGGGTCTCAAGGGCAACGCATTTGCTTGGAGTCAGCAGTCACCTTTCCTAGTCCCCACCTGTCTGCCTCCCAGGAGCTGACAGAATACACAGTGCAACCAAGGTTTGTCTTGGCAAGAAAAAGAAGAATCAAAGCACCAAGGTGGGGCTCAGACTGTCCCGTAGACAGATTAGATGCTTCCCAGTTCCTTTTTGCTGCCCCCAAGGTTGTGCCAATAAAGAAGGAACAACAAACCTGGCTGAAGCAGGCTAGTCCTTCCTTACAGCACCCTCCTTTCTCGGGTCCCCAGTTTCTTGTCCCCTCTTGGTGGCAGAAAGACTGCACACCAGCTCAGATGCCTCCAATTCCCAGAATCAGAGAAAAGATACATGTGCAAATCCTCACACCAATCAGGAACAAAAGCAGGCAATGCTGCTCCAAGCCTCTCATCCAAACAGCTCAGCAGTCACCTCTCCACTGTTTGGTTCAACTGTCAGGGAAGTTTGGGCATTTTTTTTTTTCTTTGCCAGCCAGTAGCACAATCAGGGTCATGTGTGTGTATATGTGTGTGTGTGTGTGTGTGTGTCGCCTGGGCATGGTTTCAGGGTCCCTGAAGCACTTGTGGGTGCCACGCCTTTGGCATTTAGCATTTGCTAACCTATATTATTACTGTCTTGTATGGACCCTACTTCCCTAGTAATCTTTTCAAAATATGTTTTTATTTGTTATTCTTATAGGTACATGGTAGGTGTACATATTTATGGGGTACATGAGAGGTTTTGATACAGGCATGCAATGTGAAATAAGCTCATCATGGGGACCAGGGTACTATTCCCTCATTTATCCTTTGAGTTACAAACAATCCAATTACACTCTTTAAGTTATCATAAAATATACAAGTTATTGACTATAGTCACCATGTTGTGCTACTGAATAACAGGTCTTATTCATTCTTTCTTTTTTTTAACCCATTAACCATCCCTACCTACCCAACCCTCTCAATCCCCATCCAGCCCCCCTACCCTTCCCAACCTCTGGTAATCATTCATAGATTCTCTGTCCATGAGCTCAATTGTTTTGATTTTTAGATCCCATAAATAAGTGAAAACATGTGATGTCTGTCTTTCTGTGCCTGGCTTATTTTACTTAACATAATGATCTCCACTTCCATCCATGTAGTTACAAATGACTGGATCTCATTCTTTTGCATGGCTGAATAGTACTCCATTGTGTACATGTCCCACATTTTCTTTATCCATCTGTTGATGGACACCTGGGTTGCTTCCAAATCTTAACTATTGTAAACAGTGCTGCAACAAACATCAGAATGCAGATACCTCTTTGATATACTAATTTCTTCTTTTTGGGGTATATACTCAGCAGTGGGATTGCTGTATCATATGCTCCCTAGCAATCTTAGAACTGAGATGTAACAGGCACCATTCTCAGGGACTTGCTGGGTACCCCTCCCCTACCCCAGCATGAAAACACAGAAAAATCTTGAGTTCCTTCAAAGAAACTCCAGGCACCTAGCTAGCCCTCAGAAGTAAACCAGCAACTTGATAAGCAAGAAGGTAATTTTAGCTTAAAACAATAGCCAAGGAAGTTAGAATCAGGAAATGTTTTTGTTCCCTGTATCAGTCTGTTCTCGTGCTGCTAATAAAGACATACCTAAGACTGGTTAATTTACAAAGGAAAAAGTTTTAATGGACTCACAGTTCCACATGGCTGGGGAGACCTCACAATCATGGCAGAAGGTAAAGGATGAAGCAAAGGCACATCTTACATGGCAGCAAGCAAGAGAGCTTGTGCAGGGAAACTCCCATTGATAAAACCATCAGATCTCATGAGACTTATTCACTATCACGAGAACAGTATGGGGGACACCTGCACCCATGATTCAATTACCTCCCACCGGATCCCTCCCATGACACATGGGAATTATGGGAGCTACAAAATGAGATTTTTTACAAGTCAAGGAGAAGTGACTGCTAAGCTGTTTGGATGAGAGGCTTAGAGAATCACTGCCTGCTTTTGTTGCTGACTGGTGTGAGGATTTTCACATGTATCTTTTCTCTGGTTCTGGGAATTGGAGGCATCTGAGCTGGTAAGCAGTCTTTCTGCCACCAAGAGGGGACAAGAAACTAGGGACCCAGGAAAGGAGAGTGCTATAAGGAAGGACTAGCCTGCTTCAGCCAGGTTTGTTGTTCCTTCTTTGTTGGCACAACCTTGGGGGCGGCAAAAAGGAACAGTCAAACCATATCATTCCCTATAGAATCTAAACATAACATCTTAGTGTATGTCCTTGAGTTGTTTTTCAGAAACCTGGAGCCCCATTAAACTGATCAACTAGCACATAGACCTCGAATAAGAGGGAACTGAGGACTAAACTCTAACTGTGGTTCTTGTTCTAAATTTCTTCCTGAAGGGTCTGGAGGAAGCCACACCTACGGGCCAGAATGAACATTCTTTTCTGCACACCCCATATTTTTAGATAAAGCTTTACCTCCTTAACTAATCACAAATCAGAAAACCTTTGAACTCACCTATGACATCTGTAGAGCTAGGATCTCCCTATGTTGCCCAGGCTGGTCTCAAACTCCTGGCCTCAAGTAATTCTTCCACCCCCACCTTCCAAAGTATTGGGATTACTAGTCCCAGTGTGAGCCCATGTGGGCCTCTGCTCCCAGATGTCTGCTTTTTTAAGTCAAACCAAATGTCGAGCTTTCATGGATTGATTTATGGCTTTGCCTGTAGCCTCTGCCTCCCACCTTTAAAAATCCTTCCCTGTAAGCCAACTGGGTGGTTGGGACTTAAGCATAAGCTGCCTGATTCCTCTTGGTTGGTGCCCTACAAGTAAATGCCTCCCTTTCTACTGCTGCAAAACCTTGATGTGGACAGCTGATCTCACTGTGCCGGGTGAACAGCCCCTGTTATGACGTGCTTGAGCCACTGGCTGAGTTTCATATACCTAGTTCAGAGATGTGCATAGAAGGTGATATGGTTTGGCTCTGTGTCCCCTCCCAAATCACATCTTCAATTTTATTTCCGTAATTCCCACGTGTCGTGGGAGGGACCTAGTGGGAGATAATTGAATCATGGAGGCGGTTTCTCCCATACTGTTTTGGTGGTAGTGAATAAGTCTCGCGAGATCTGATGGTTTTATAAGGGGAAACCCCTTTCACTTGGCTCTCTCACTCTGTCTCTTGTCTCCACCATGTGAGATGTGCCTGTGCCTTTGGCTTTCCACCATGATTATGAGGCCTCCCCAGCCATGTGGAAATGTAAGTCCATTAAATTTCTTTCTTTTGTAAATTGCCCAGTCTCAAGTATGTCTTTAGCAGCAATGTGAAAACGAATTAATACAGAAGGTATTATACTACAAGAGTTTCCACAATGGGTCACAGGCAGATGAATAGAGTTGACAGGGTCTCCATAAGATCTTTCCCTTTGATCCCTTAGTTTGGATGAATGCTGCATCATCTAACAATCTGTTGCCTCTGTAAGCAATTATTTTGTCACTTTCTAGATGGCAACCAGGTCACCAAAATGCCTTGGTAGGGCAAAGCACGGTGGCTGAAGCCTGTAATCCCAGCACTTTGGGAGGCCGAGGCGGGTGGATCACTTGAGGTCAGGAGTTCGAGACCAGCCTGGCCAACACGGTGAAACCCCATCTCTACTAAAAATACAAAAATTAGCCAGGCATGGTGATGGGTGCCTGGAGGCTGAGGCATGAGAATCGCTTGAACTTGGGAAGCAGAGGTTGCAGAGAGCCGAGATCGCACCATTGCACTCCAGTCTGGGCAATAGAGCAAGACTCAGTCTCAAAAAGCGAAAAAAAGAAAAAAAAAAAAAAAAAAACAGACAAACAAATGCCTTGGTAAGTGTAGATACACACATGAAGTTCCTGGTAAAATGTGGGGGCCTCCCACATAACCAGAGTCGGAAACATCTGGCCAAAGCTCTCATTCTGCCCTCCCTTGCTGCCTGTGTAAATTTGGGCAAGTTGTTTTTTCTCTCTAAATCTCATCGCCCTCATC